CGCGGCCCTCCTCCCCCCCTCTTCCTCCCCTCCTCTACTCCTACTCCGCTCCTCCTTCTTCTTCTCCTCCTCCTCCTCCTCCCCCTCCTCCTCCTCCTCCTCCTCCTCCTCCTCCTCCTTGTCCTCCTCCTCCTCCTCCTCCTCGTCCTCCTCCTCTTCAGGGGGCCCACCCTCAGCACAGGAGGGCTGTGGACGTCTTTGAATGTGTCCAAGATTCCCTTTCAACGATGCTGAGTCTTTGTGCTCGCGCTGCTGCCAGAGGGTGGGAGCTGTTCCGCATTTTTGGTGGCAGTGCCCCTGTGACGCTGCACAGCAGCGAAGCTTGCGAGAAGCGGTGCCCGTTGAAGTACGGCCAGAGATTCTTCATTCTTGCTTGGCACGGTGCGGTCTGATCCTGGCTGCCAACCGCGGTGTGCTGGCGGTGGCAATTGACCATGCCATTGCCATGTCTTCGTATCTGCCACGGGTGAACGCCATCGTCACCACGCAGGTCTTGGTGGGCCGTAGGACCGTCGAAGCGGGTAGCCGGCGGTTCTGGACCTGGCGCTGCTGCGGTCGCGGCCTCTGCGGGAAATCTACCGGTCAGTTCTTCCGCCGCTGAAAATGATTAGGCCCAGGTTCGGACGTCACCTTTACGGCGTACTCGCCAAGAGCTTCTTCTTCTTGCTCAACCACCCCCTCCTGCTTTTCAGCGCCGTGCTGGGATTGTCGTGTCCTGCGACAGTTCCTCAAAAAGCGTGGACGGCGAGCAGGTTTCTGGTTCGCTGTGTCCTTGCCCAGCGCGGTCTCGCTGCTGGACTTTTCCGGGGCCACCGTCCCTGCTGAATCCGATCCCTGTTACATTGGTGCGTGCAGGCAGTGGAACGACGTCGGTGAGCTCGGCGCCAAATGTTACTACTTGTCTTTCACGCGGATCATATGCGTTCATCTCTTCTTCATCTTCTGCATCATACTGCATCGAGTATGACTCGGAGCTCGTGGCCAACATAGCATCGAGACCTTCGACAGCGCGCCAGACCTTACGACAGTGTAGCCCTGCACGTTCGGCGCCTGGTTGACGAGCTTGGTGAATGCCTCGCGTGGCGGAAGGTGGTGTCTCACACGGGACTGTTCCTGAACGACCGGGCTGAAGTGCGGTGCGAGTGGACTCCTCAGTGGCATTCCAGACGTACGGAAGTGAGCACGTTTAGCAAGGCGATCGTCAAGACTTGATGTCAGGCAGCCCCTGAGTGTATTCCTACGCGCGCTTCTCCCCCTGAGGGCTTCTCGGGCCGAATTGCTTACGGTGCAAGATCGAACCAGCACCGTCGACGACGGGGCCAGAGGCAGAGCGGAAAGATGCAGTGTACAGTGGGGTCTCAAAAAAGAGCCCGAACTCATTCATCCCGCCAGTCTATTGAGGCCAATTGTGCACGCGAAGTAGCCCGTTCACATTCATCCATTTGTAAGGGCCCCAGGGCCCGAAGACGGGCGAGAACGCTTGACGCGAACAGACATGCTATGCCTGGACCTCGGGGCTTGAACCTCCGCTCACAGCTTTGGGGCCACCTCTCGGCGAGGCGCAGCTGCTGGAACGCTTCCCGAAGCGAGCCAACGTCCAGGAGCCAACGAAAACGTCCAAAAGGCCCGAACCTCGAACCTCGAGACCGGGCGAACAACAAATGAAACGCCTGGATCTCGGGGATCGGGGGTCGCAAACTTATCCCTGGACCTCCTGGGGTGCGTTCTGCCCAAAATGTCGAGGCGGATGTAGCCGTGGACACGAAGAGCCTTTTCGAGGCTTTACGATTCCAGGAGCTGGAGTGTGCAGTCGGATGCAGGTAATCTCGTGGGCCACCGTGTTGCGCGCCGTCATCAGCTCCGAGTCCTTCGCTACACAGAGTGAAATGTTTACGATCACGATCGATGAGGGCCTGAATAATCTAAAGTGGAGTCGGAATCCATGGGTGACTGAGTCTATCTTCTACCATATGTATTGTTTATACGCATGGCGTAGTTCCATCGAGAATGTTGATGAGTTGTTCTACCGAAGTCCAGCCCGTCAAATGTGTGTATATATTTAATGATACCGGAAAACGTGAGGGCGATAATCGGTGTACTGTTGGACGTGTTATTGCTTCCCGTGTGGTAGAACTTCTCGGCCTCTCCCTCCCGAAGTTGTCGGCCTCGCCGCTTCTCGTATCCGCACCATGCAGTTGCGTCAACCATGCCTATATCATCGTCGGTGTTATTTTGTTTGTTTCGTCACGGCCTTCCCCCCCTTCCCGCTTCTTTGCTCCTGCTTCGGGCCCTCCCCTGGTTCTGTGGGTCAAGGTCTCTGGAGGCAGCGTCGGGGTCTGAAATAAGCATCGGCGCGGTGGTCGGCTGAAGACTTTGTTCTCCCAGGGGTGCCGCTCGTCGTCGTCGTCGTCCTCCTCCTCCTTATCTCCTCCTCCTCCTCCTCCTCCTCCTCCTCCTCCGCCTCCTCCCCCCTCCCCCCCCTCCCCCCTCTCTCCCCCCCCTCCTCCTCCTCCTCTCCTCTCCTCCTCCTACCTCCTCTCCCTCCTCCTCCTCTCCTCCTTCCTCCTCCTCCTCTCCTCCTCCGCCTCCTCCTCCTCCTTCTCCTCCTCTTCCTCCTCCTCCTCCGCCTCCTCCTCTTCCTCCTCCTCCTCCTCCTCCTCCTCCTCCCGTTCTCCTCCTCCCCTCCCCGGTGCTGCCGGTCCTCTCCTCCGATGCCCCCCGCCGACGAGGCCGCGGGCAGCGCCAACGCCGCGGCGGCGGGATCACCGGCACCAGGCGACGAGACCGTCCTCACGCTGGTGCCGCCGAGTGTTCCCAACGCCCGCCGGGGTGCCAAATCGCCCCCAGCTTTCGGAGGTCGAGGCCTGAGGATCGATATCCGTTTTCGGGGGGTTGAGGATCGAGGATCGAGGATCGAGGATTCGGGCGCTTGGGGTTTCGTTTTTTCCCAACCCTCCTTGGTTGGGTATTCGTTTTGAATAGAGCACCGCGGTCGCGTCCTTCTTCTCCTCCCGCCTCCCGCCTCCTCCTGCCCTCTCTTGGCCGTTGCTGGGGGGCTGCGATCTGCAAAACTGTCGCCACTTTCGAGGGCTGCTGTTGGGTCCAGCGGAGTGAGGCACCGCGCAGATCTGAGGTAGACCTCGCCGTCCCTGGGGGGCTGCGATTTGCGAAACTGTCGCCACTTTCTGGGGCTGCTGGTGAGTCCAGCGGAGTGAGGCACCGCGCAGATTTGAGGTAGACCTCGCCGTCCCTGGTGGGCTGCGATCTGCGAAACTGTCGCCCCGAGGGCTGCTGGCGGGTCCAGCGGAGTGAGGCACCACGCAGATTTGAGGTGGACCTCGCCATCCCTGGGGGGCTGCGAGCCTCACGAATGCCGCTCGCAGAATTATATGCGCCCATGTCACGTCATCACCTCTGTATAACGTGTCCCAGGCTATTCGTGCTCCGCATTGCGCAGGGGTTGGGTACGTCGCCAGGGTAATTCTTGGAGGTTTTCTCGCCCAGGGGTACGTTCCAGCAGCTGCGCCTCGCCGAAGGCGTTCTGGGGATGCCGGCATCGTCCCAAGCGGCCGCCTGAGGCCAGAGTTCTGGCCCCGACACCCGACTTTCTCGCGTTGCGACAGAATCACGACGGGAGGTTCTTGGCTGTCTTTGGCTTTTTGGTGCTCTGAACGGGCCCCAGGACCGTCCGTCGGCTTAGTATGAAAAGCCCAGGTCCAGTCTTTCGTGGGGCCACGTTGCTATCATCCGAAGACAGTTCGCCGCTTGGGCCCCACCGCCAGCCCAAACGGCGAGCATAAATCAGGCGTAGCCCCGCACGCATTCGAATGCCCACACTTCGTCCTCGTACTACTCGAATTCTTCCCCGTCTTCCTCCCCATCCTGATCGTCGTCGTCGTCCTCCTCCTCCTCCTCCTCCTCGTCCTCCTCCTTCTCATCCTCGTCTTCCTCCTGCTCGGCGGCCGAAAATAAAACCGTCTCCTATCAGTTGCACCATCGGTTGCGCCCTCGGCGGCCGAGAACAAGCGGCACGTGTGCCATGGCTCTTGCACAAAAAAGGAAGGGGGAGGAGGCGGAGGTGGACGTGGAAGGGGGAAGAGGGGGCAAGACATCGCCCCTCGGGGCCCAGCAACGGGGCCCAAATCCCAGGTGGGGAGGGAGGAGGGGGGGAGGTGGTGTGCGTCGCGACGCGGAATAAAGCGTTCGTGGCGGAAGGGGCAGTGAGCTAGGCTCCCGCTGGGGCGCTGGGGGCGCGGGGGGCTCGGGGCAGAGAGCCACGGCGCGGGGGTCCCATTGGCGCTGGGGACGCCGGGGGGGGTGCGACGCGGAAGAAAGCGTTCGTGGCGGAGGGGGCAGTGGGCGGGGCTCCTGCTGGGGCGATGGGGGCACGGGGGGGCTCGGGGCAGAGAGCCACGGGGGCCCCACTTTGGCGCTGGGGGCGCGGGGGAGGGGGGGGGGAGTGCGACGCGGAATAATGTGGTCGGAGCATAGACACCCTGTGCAAGATAATAGCACAGTCTCCTATCGGTTGCGCCATAGGTTGCGCCCTCGGCGGCCGAGAATAAGACGGTGTCCGATCGGTTGCGCCATAGGTTGCGCCGTCGGCGGCTGAGAACAACACCGTCTTTGATCGGTTTCGCCATAGGCGGTTGCGCCCTTGGCGGCCGAGAACAAAACCGTTTCCGATCGGTCGCGCCATAGGTTGCGCCCTCGGCGGCCGAGAATGAGACCGTCTCCGATCGGTTGCGCCATAGGTTGCCGCCTCGGCGGCCGAGAACAAAACCGTCTCCGATCGGCTGCGCCATAGGTTGCGCCCTTGGCGGCCGAGATCCAAGCCGTCGCGCGATGGGTGCGACCAGTCAGTTCAATTCATTTTACGTCGCGAGCAGAGAATTCGGGCTGCGCGCGAACAAAACCACGACGTCGGCTGATTACGCTTGTCTTTTTTTTTTTTTGGCTGGGCCAAGGTGTCAACATCCGAGCAGGGTTCCTCGTTGCTTGTGCTCCTTGCCCTCCTCGTCCTCCTCGTCCTCCTCGTCCTCCTCGTCCTCCTCGTGCTCCTCGTACTCGTCCTCCTCCTCCTCCTCCTCGTCCTCCTCGTCCTCCTCGTCCTCCTTGTCCTCCTCCTCGTCCTCCTTGTCCTCCTCGTCTTCCTCGCAAGCGGCTTCGCGCGGGCCCCGCGGGCATTTCGCCCGCGCGGCGGACGCCCGCGGCGCGATGGCCCCCAGCCCCGCGGAAGGGACGCTCAGCTGCCGCCGCGCGGTCGCGCCCCCGCCCTCCCCGAGGCGGGCGCGGCGCGCCGGCTGGCGCGCGGGCAGTGAAAGGGTGTCAGGGAGAGCGGGAGCGAGCATAGCAGCGTGCTTGCGCCCGCCGCCGCCTGTGCCCGCCGCAGCCTTTGGCTTAGAGAAGGCGGCGCGCCCGCCGAACTGTCGACAGAGATTGAGGCGAGACCAGTCAAAGTTCAGCACATCTCAGCAGGACAATGGTGACGATCATTCCTCGGGTACGTGCTGCCTGGCCGTTCGGCCACCTGGAGGAGGAGAGCACCAGAGGTCTTTCGACTCTGGTAGCGGAGCCGGTGGGCTCTGCAGGGTCGGCTGCAAGTCCGGCCGGCTCTGCGTGCGACGTGGGCGGCGACAGGCCGCAGCGTGGCGACCACGGCAATGGGGTGGAGTCGGCCTCAAGGCGTTGTACCTGCTGTGCGACGACCGCTCCATGTGCAGCCTGCCCCGTGCAGGCCATGACATCATCAAGTACTGGATGCTCTTCCTCTTCGACGAGTTCGACGCCGAGCAAGATCGTGTTGCTCATCGGTCTCCTCGGCATCCTGATCAACGTAGCGAGCTCGGCGGAGCCTCTGGGCTTCAGGCCCATGACGCCGCAGCGCGGCCATCGCATCGGCGAGTCACGGCTGCCGGCGCCGCAGTGGGGCCAACCCCACGAGCAGAACGTGCAGGGCCTGCCGGCGGCGGAGCTGGCCCAGCAGAGCACGTCGAAGGTCCCGCCGTTCTGGGCGCCGTACCTTGAGCAGCGCGGGTACCCCTTCAGGCTGTGGGTCCAGGACGTGATGCTGTGGTGCGCGGCGACGGAGCTGCAGCAGCACCAGCGCGGCCCGGCGATCGTCCAGCGGCTCGGCGGCACGGCGAGGGACCTCTGCCGCGAAGTGCCGGTCGAGGCCATTGCGCACGGCAGGTTCGACCAGCTGGGTAACCTGGTCGAGGACGGGGTGCAGATGCTGATCGCAGGACTCAGGCGGCGCTTTGGCCCGCTCGATGTCCAGTCCTCGATCAGCACCATCGTCGAGCTGCTGACATTCCGCAGACAGGAGAGGGAGAGCATCGACGACGCGATCACGCGCTTCGAGGCTCTGCGCGCCCGAGTGGCGCAGCTTGACGACCCGCTCGTGCTGCCGACGCCGGTGCTCTCGCTGCTGTTCTTGGAGGCCCTGCATGTGCCCAAGGCCGTGTACCCCCTGGTGCTGCAGTCCAACGGCGGCCAGCTGCCAATGACGATCGACCAGCTGAACAGCGTGATCGGGATGGTGCGGCAGCAGGGCCACTTTGCGGAGCACACTCATGCAGGACCTCAGAACTTGTCTGAAGGATACCGCGGCAAAGGATATCACGGTCATCATTGGTTCACGGGCGAGAATGACAGCGGCGCCAACACCTGGAACGACACGGCCGCATACATGTATGGTCAGAGCGCATCCAGCGCGGCAGGGAGCGCTGGATCCGCACCACAGCACTACGTGGTCCAGGACGACGAGGGCTACGATTGTTGCGCCGTCTGCTCGAGCTACTTGTACGAAGACGAGCCCGGGGACGATGACTCGATGACCGACGACGATGACTTGGACACTTCCCAGTTCACTCAGGAGGAACTACAGGAGTATTATGGCGACTCCGAGGGCTGGGACTACGACACCCTGCTACACGAGTACCTGTTCGCGAAGCGCAGGTTTCGCCACTTTGTTCAACGGAACAGCCGCCGCTCTCGTTTCCCGCGCAGCAATTGGTCTCTTCGTATGAACAGCGGCAAGGGCGGCAGCAGCTTCGGACGTGGGCGAGGCCACGGCAAGGGATGCCACTTTGGAGGATCGGTGGTGAACCCAGGCTCGCTGGCAGGAGGAAAAGGTAAGAAGAAGAAGGGCGGCAAGCACTACATGGCAGGCACGCCCGGCGCCACCAATCCTCGAGGCAGTGACGGCCGTACCATGCGGTGCCACGAGTGCGACTCGGAGACTCACCTCGTGGCCGCCTGCCCCAAGCGCAAGGGCAAGGGCAAGGGCAAGCACTTCATGTCCTGGAACTCTGGCAGCGCCTCGACGGGGACGCAGCAGGCTGGGGCTCCTGCCGCCGACCCAACATTGTCCGCCTATGCGCCTGTGCCCGCGCAGCCGCGGACTGGAGCCCTGTCTGGAGTGCTGCACTGGTTTGCCGAGGACGCCCGGACGCCCGGCCTGCAGATCGACGACCTTGACGAGGACACCTGCCGCGAGGCTCTGAGCTGGGAGACCCTTGACATGCGCGACAACGTCGCGGAGCACGACATATTGACGGAGATCCAGGCCAGCATGCAGGACCGAGCTGCGGAGGATCAGCCTCCGGCGACAGCTGGGCGATCAGCGGCCGTGACCAGCCCGACATGGTTCCCATGGTGGCGAGTTGATCAGTTCGAGAACGCCAGCGGGGAGACCTACTTGGTTCGCACCCGCATGAAGGACAGGAGCGGCGAGGCTCTGCTGGTGGACCCCGGGAGCCCAGGCAACCTTACTGGCGATGAGTGGGGTAACAGGATGGCAGCGCGACAGCAGCAGGCAGGACGTCCACCGCCTGTCCGCATCCCACTCGACCGGGTGCTTGAGGTTGGTGGTGTGGGCTCAGGATCTCAGCAGGCCACGCACGCTCATCGCTATCAACTGGCGCTACAGGGAGGACAAGCCGCGACCTACGAGGCGCCGGTGCTCCCGAACAGCAGCGTTCCGGCACTGCTCGGGCGAGCATCGCTGCGGGACCAGCGCATATTGCTCGACTGCTTCAACAATCGCATGTACCGCATCGGCCCGGGCGGCTACTCTGCAGCAACCGCGCCGACTCCCGCATCCACCAGGACGGCAAGCAAGAAGACCACTACGGCGACGTCATCCGGCAGCGGTGCCACATCGGACAGCGCCAGCGGGCAGCCCGACGCGGGCAGCCTGCACCTCTGATCGAAGACGCCCCCTCTCGGTGCTCGGGACGGCGGGGGCACCAGGGAAGTACAGGGGAGACCGCCATCGGCATGGGTGTTCGGCGACTTGCAGAACCTGTGCCAGAACGCGCTGCACGGATGCGGATATGCGGTGGGTCGCAGCTGTGATGTTCACAGATTCCTCGGGCAGGAGGATAAGTGGGCGGATTCCTTGCGCCACCAGCAGCCGGAGCTCGTTTGGATCAGCCTGGCTCAGCCGGGCACGTCGCGAGGCACTCGCAACGACAAGCGAGCCAAGCGTTTCGAGTGTAAGATTGCTCGAGCCCAACTTGAAGGGCATCGCTGCTGCATCGTCGAGGCGGACGAGGGCAGCGCGGTGTGGGACATGCCCGACATCCTGGAGCTGCTGGACGACAGGAGGTGGCACTCAGGACGATTACGATGGTGCAACCTCGGGGTTCGTGACGCTCGAGGATCACCAGCAGCTCAGACTACACGCATCGTCAGCAGCAGCTACTTCGACGATCACGACGCGAAGTGCCGCTGCGGTTGGCCAGCAGGCCGACATGTTACACGAAAGACTGCTGCAGATCGGTTGGACTTCAAGGCCAGAGGGGTATCTGCTCTGGTCAAGCGGATGGTGGCCGCTGGTTGCTTCGACGGCGGCGCGAGATCCGACGCAGCCGACGGATTGTCGCCATCTGCGACAGCTACACCAAGCCGTGAGGCCGGGGGTGATTCCCGACCCGGGTCGTCAAGGACGGATCCGACGACTACCGGGCCTCCAGGATCTCGGACAGAGGCTTTGAGAGAAGCCGACGAGGAGCAGTCACGAGCTGAGCGACGTCGACCTGGCCGAGTGTCATTCGCGGACGACGTCGACGGGACAGGCTGCAAGGTGAGCGCGCTGACTGCGAGCTTTCCCACTGAGCAGAGGACGCGCGACAAGGCGCGTAAGGCAGCGGACCCGGAGCGCAAGGTGAAGAAGAGGCCACAGACGGTGGAGCAGGTCTTCGACGACTGCGGCTCCGATTTCACGAAACTCTACGTGGCGAACGAATACGAGCTGGACGAGGTGTGCTACGGCACCGAGCTCAGGGAGGACCAGCACATCGATGAACAACCGTACATCATGATGTCCGAGTTCTTTGGCATGATCGGCTCGGAGGCGCACCTGAACGAGAAAGACGAGCAGCTGAACTTCTTCAGATCGGTCAAGGATATGGACACACACATGAACATCTACTACGGCCACCTGCAGCACGACGACGTCGCGGAGCTGTGCGGTGGCGCATCTGGAACGACCCGGCTGCTTGTACGACGAGGATATCGAGGCGGTCCCAACTTCGACCTCATTTGCGACTGCAACTTGATGACGCACGAGGGCCAGAGGCAGTTTTGGGAATATCTGTATCATGGCAAGCCTCTTGTTTTACTCATTAGCACGCCCTGTACGAGCTTGAAGGGGTTCTCGGCGCTCAACAAGGTCATCAACTACGACGGTTGGCTTCGCAGTCGCAAGACATCTGTGGGGCTGGCCCGCATCGCCGCTGCAGCGGCGTGTACTCAGATGGACGCCGGGCGCCACTTTGTGTCGGAACAGCCGTTGGGCAGCGACTTCTACAAGCTCGACGACTGGCAACACATCGCCAACAACTACGCGGTGGCGTGGTGCCAAGTCGACCAGTGCATGGCCGGCAAGATCGGGTGGCGAACGGGACTACCTATCAAGAAGTCCTCGGAGTTCTGGGCTTCGGACGAGCGCCTGCTCGCCGGACTCAGGAGGTTTCGCTGCGACGGCCAGCACGATCACGCCTTGCTGGCCCATGGTGGCCGAGGACACCATCCAGAGCGTGACAAATGGCGACTAGAGAACCCCAAGGATCATGCGGAGTGGGCGATTGGCATCTGCCGGGAGCTGGCAGCGAGCATTTCCCAGATGGTGGAGCGCGCGAGATATCAGGGACACCACCTCGTTGTGTACGAGTGCTACCCCACGGACGCTGTCACGGAGTCTGCTGCCGCGGCCTCTGGAGCAGCAGCAGCCGCAGCATCATCCTCGGGGGCAGCAGCAGCCGCAGCATCATCCTCTGGAGCAGCAGCAGCCGCAGTACCAGCTTCAGGAGCAGCAGCAGCGGCATCATCAGCAGCAGCGTCCACAGCAGGAGTACCGCGCGCTGCGCAGCCGTGCGCCGGATGTCGGCATCATCGGCCGGCTGACCACCCAGCCCATGATCGAGGGGAGACTTGCAAGCATAGATTTGTGCCGACGAATCGCGACCTGAAGTGCCCGGCCTGCCGGAGTGGTCGCGCGGCCTCAGACACACGACATACCCGAATACCTGGAGAATGCCGAGCAGACAGTGTTCTCCCAAGAGCAGTTGGACCTCGAGATTTACGACCGAGACAACCACCGGCCTCTGAGGAGCCGACTGCGAACCAGGCACCGAGCGCCGCGCGAGCCGACGCGCCAGATGCCGAACCTGAACCGCCACTGCCTCCACCTGTGCCTGCGGAGCGTCGACCTCGAGTGGCTCGAGCGACAGCGGCGGCACGGCGACTGCGATCGCGTCTGCCAGCAGCTGGAGAGGCGGAGCCAGACGAGCCATCAGGCGGCGCCTCGGGATCGGCGGACGCCATCGGCGAGGCACCCGTCGCGGAGCAGCCGGCTGCGGCCCCAGCCGCGCCAGCTCGAGGCGTGGATGCGGGGACGCAGGCTCGAGGAAGTGACGAGCCAGGCTGGACCGCGTTTGACCTCGGGCACGCGCTTCGACTGCTGCACAGTCCACACCAGGAAGTCGTTCGGCGCCAGCTACGACGACTTCATGTTCGATTTTGGCACGCTCCAGCAGCTCGCCTCAGAGAGCTGCTGACCAAGGCCGGCGCTCCTGCATCTACGCTGGCCCTGGTGAAGGAGATCTGCGACACGTGCCGGGTGTGTAGGCTATGGACGAGACCGGGACCGAAGAGCATGACGATCTCTCGGCTCGCGACGGGTTTCAACGAGATGGTGCAGTGGGACATCCTCTACATCGGCGAACAGATGGTGGCACACATGATCGATGAAGCGACCCGATGGACGGTGCTGCACATCTTGGAACGCAAGACAGCGATCATGATCATCGCCGGCATCACTCAGGGATGGCTACGTCCTCATGGCCCCATGAAGCTGCTGATTGCCGACATCGAGGGCGGTCTCCATGGCGAGGAGGCGTACCAGTGGCTGGACCGCTGGGGCATTGAGATGAAGGCCAAAGAGGAGGGCTCGCACGCGCAGCTGGTGGAACGACATCACGACCTAGTGCGCAAGATCATACACCGCGTGCAGGCCCAGCTTGCGGAAGAAGGCATTGTGATGCCGTTGGAGATCGTGATCATGGAGTGTGCCCTCATCAAGAACCTTCTCATCACCGTGGCTGGCTACAGCCCGTACCAGGCGGTGTACGGCCGACTTCCGCCCCTGCTCGCCGAGTTCGAGCCGGTGAGCGACTGCCAGATCGACGATCAATCGGCTGGCATTCCAGGAATCTCCCGACACCATCATCGGCTCCGTGAAGTTGCAATGCAAGCCATGGTGGAGATGACCGCGAAGGACAGGCTGAGGCGCGCACTTCGATCCAAGACGCGTGCCCCGCACGAGGCGCTGCAGCTGGCGGTCGGCGACCAGGTTGACTTCCACCGGCCGCCGAGCACGAAGGAGGAGTCGGGGTGGCGCGGCCCGGCTACCTTGCTGCAGGTCGGACCTCCAGTGCTCATTCGATGGCAGGGCCGAGTATTTCAAGTGCGACCTCAGGACCTTCGGCGAAGCCTCGTCTACTTCGTGATGTTCACGAACAACATCTTCTTTGAGGAAGGATCGCGCGACCCGGTGGCCACCCTCATGAGCTACGCGGACCAGCTGGACAGCAAGGTCGCGCGCGTCGGGTGGCTCTTCGACGCCGGGTGGAAGCGGACCGCGGACAGCCAGAAGCTCAGCGAGTTGGTCCTGGCGGTGTTGCACGTTGCCGCCAGTGGCTTCTACCTGGTGGGGTGCATCGGCGCGCGAGTGGGCAACGGCGTGTCTGTGCTCGAGGGCATGGTCGGATGCGACCACAGCTTCCTGTGGTGGTGGCGGCGCGGACGCCCAGAGCTGTCCTGGTACCACGAGGCGTCTGGATCTGCTCGACTGAAGTTGGCCCCGATATTTGGCAAGGATCACTGGCGGGACGTCAGCTTCGTGCAGTTCATCATGACGGACGACGAGTCTGTTCGCGAACTTCGGCGACTTGAACCCGAGGTTCCGCATCTTGGGGGTCCGTGGTTCGGCAACCTTCCACACGCACGACGGTATGAACAGCCAGAACGACCTGAACCCGGGCCGTTTCAGGAACCGCCCGAGTTTCAGGAGGAAGACTTCGACATGACCTGGCAGGACAAGCCGATATCCGACACGAGCATTCCAAGCGCATCCAGACAGACAAGTGCATCACTGCCAGTGCCCGACACGAGCATATCGAGCGCATCCAGGCAGACGAGTGCAACATCGGATTCAACGAGGAGTCGGAGCAACCGAGGGCACCACCGGCCACGAGGGCCCTCTCCTGCCTCGGCTGCTGCCGACAACATTGTGCCGTCCGTGAAGCCGCCTGTGAAGCCAGGCGGAGGAGCTCGAGAGAGATCGCGATCACGTGATGGTCCGGATCGTGATCATGGAGCCCGAGGTGCAGTTGAGCCAGCGGCAGCAGTTGAGGCCCCTGCACCCCGGCACGAGCCAGTGCTCCCGATCAAGGATGATGGGGGCAAAGACGACGACGGCGACTCGGACAGCGACGCGACCCAGGAGTACCTGTTCGCGAGCTGGCAGCACCTGAAGGAGCAGGCCGCTCTGCCTGCTGTTGACATCGAGTGCGCTCAGAGCGACTTCTTCTTTGCAGCCCCGGACGCAGATCATGTGGCAGAAGCAGCAGAGGATGATTCTTCGAATTCCCGACCCGACTGCGTCGAGATCGGCATAGGTGCGCCACTCATGTACTGGGTGCACCCTGAGGTGGAGCACATGCGACGACCTGGGTCAGGGGAGATCTACATCCTGCGCGTCTACAACACGGGCAAGCGCGAGATTGTCGTCGAGCGCGAGATGAACGTGCTCACGCTGGAGGAGGCCCGAGCTCACGAAGTTGAAGTACGGCAGGCCATGAAGGACGAGCTCCAGCGCTGGGCGGAGTTGAAGGCATTCCAGCGTTTCCCGAAGGATCAGGCGACCAACATCATCGACTCCCGCTGGGTGCTCAAGTGGAAGGAGATCGACGGCAAGAAGCAGGTGCGCGCGAGACTCACGGTGAGAGGCTTCAAGGACATGCAGTCACCGGAGCTGTCCACCTTTGCGGGTACTACGACGCGATGGGGACAACGACTGGTGAATCAGGTGACTGCACAGCGCAAGTGGCGATTATTCTCAGCGGACATCAGCCAGGCGTTCTTGCGCGGGCTCACCTTCGAGCAGGTCGCCGCCATGGACGGCGAGGTCAAGCGGAAGGTACAGTTCACGATGCCGCCAGGATCGATTCCAGTCCTCCGGCAGCTGGAGGGCTACGAGGACTACAACCCTGTGACAGAGGTGTTGTTGCTCCTGCGCTGCGGCTTCGGTCTGAAGGACGCGCCGAGGCTGTGGCAGGTCATGTTGAAGCAAGTGCTGGAGAAGACAGGAGGCAAGGCGCTCATCAGCGACCCGCAGATCTACGTGTACCACGACGCGAAGGGTGAGCTGCAGATGATCATGTCCTCGCACGTGGACGACCTCAAGGGCGGCGGCGAGGACTACCTGCGGGAGAAGGTACTGAGCATGATCGAGAGCGAGTTCGGGAAGCTGAAGCGCCAGTACGACTGCTTTGAGTGCATCGGCATCATGCACGAGCAGGACGCTGTGACCAAGGCCATCTGGACGCATCAGCAGCACTACGTTCAACAGCTGCGACCGCTCCAGGAAGACCAGTATGTGATGGAGAATGAAGATGGCCAGGTGAGCGTGGAGACCCACGCGGCGTACATGTCGCTGCTCGGGGGAATCGCATGGATGACGCAGACGATGGCGCCCATTGCAGTGTACGTCAGCTACCTCCAGCGGCAGGCCAAGAAGCCGTCAGTCGGAGACATCCGGAAGATCAACCGGCTGCTGAAGTGGATCATGGTGAACGCGAAGCAGCTCGGAGTTCGGTTCATCGAGTTGGACATGACCCGAGGGCGGCTGGCCGTCGTCAGCGACTCAGCCTTCCACGCCATGGAGTTCGAAGGCTTGGCGATCCGAGGCTGTGTGATCATGTTGCTGGAGGCTGACGCCGAGGTGCTTCAAACCGGATCGACGTACAGAATTGTGATGCTTGACTGGTACAGCAGAAAGCAGAACAACGTAGTGAGGTCCACCTACGCCGCCGAGCTGATGGCGTTGTTGGACGCACTTGGCACCGGCACCCTCATGAACGTGGCATTGACTGAGATCAGTGAAGGAGTGTGCACAGCGAATGAGATGCGAGTGCGGCAGGAGGTCGGCGACCTAGTGTTGAAGATGATCGCGGCCATCGACGCGAAGGCAGTGTTTGACGCCGTCTCCGCCGCCACCATCAAGGTGACCACGGACAAGCGCATGTTTGTGCCGACGCTCGCGGTGCGTGAGCAGATCGACCGCCTCCAGCTGTCCCAGCTCAGCTGGATCGACACGGTGGACATGCTGGCGGACGGGCTGACGAAGGGCGAGCTCGACCGGACGGCCTTCGTGAAGCTGGGCTTCAGCAACGAATGGCACCTGAGCGGCCTGCAGCCAGTGGCCTTCTCGGCGCGCAGCGCGCTGGAGGGCCGCGCAGAGCGCTCGAATTCCCGACCCGAGTGAAAGGGTGTCAGGGAGAGCGGGAGCGAGCATAGCAGCGTGCTTGCGCCCGCCGCCGCCTGTGCCCGCCGCAGCCTTTGGCTTAGAGAAGGCGGCGCGCCCGCCGAACTGTCGACAGAGATTGAGGCGAGACCAGTCAAAGTTCAGCACATCTCAGCAGGACAATGGTGACGATCATTCCTCGGGTACGTGCTGCCTGGCCGTTCGGCCACCTGGAGGAGGAGAGCACCAGAGGTCTTTCGACTCGGGCCAGCTCGCCAGCCTGGCATGGGCGAGCTAGGCGCGCGCACGCTGGCGCACGGCGGCGGCTTCGGAGTCAGTTGGGCGAACAGAGGTCGAGGGTGCACCGCGGCAGTCAACCTCCAGGCAGCATGCCTCGAGCCTGGTCGAGCTGCGGGGCCTGCCACGCGTCAGAGTGGAAAGACATCCCGGTGAAGCGAGACTGCAGTTGCAAACGCTGCGGCTCCACAGTGAAGTTGCGTCGGGGAGGCCAACGTCGAGGCAAAGACGGATATGATAGCAACATTCTTCAGCTCAGCCTCGCGGGCGGCCCCAAGACCAAGGGCAAGCAAGGGCATCGGCCTGGAGGAGGCTCAGCAGTCATGCAAGCACATGCTCACGCCCATGATCAGCACCGAGAAAGATATGGTGGGCAAGCGCGCCCTTCTCAAGCAGCTGCAAGAGCTGGACAAGAAATTCTCTCAGCCGGAGGACGCTCCTTCACCGTCAGAGGCAGCTCGGCGAGCTGAGGGCGCCTGGAAGGACGCCCAGTCGAATTTCCAGCAGGCCGCCCAGAATGTTGCGCGGCGGCGCGAGCAGCTCTCCAAGGCGCTGGACAGGGGGTCGGAGGCGGTTCGCACGTTAGCCGAGGCAGAGGTCTCGCGCAAGATTGCGGCGAAGGCTATGGCAGCAGCTGCGTTACCTGATTCGCGCAACACAGTGCCAGTTGACAAGCAGGCATCCGCCGAGTTCCAGCGGGGCGAGGATTTTTCAAGCAGGTCGAAGCCGGGGGGTTCGAGCGCGAACCTCAGGAGCGCGAGGAGCTACCCCAGATCCAGTCGCAGTTCCAGTCCACTCGCAATCAGATCGGTGACACTAGCGAGAAGGTCACGACGTGGAAGGCCAAAGTTGTTGCCACGAGGCAGGCGGTCGCCGAGCGCATGGCAAAGAAGAGGGGGCAGGCGGATGGAGCGGCCGCGGCAGGTGCCGCCGAGCAGGCGACCGCAGGCGGCCCCCAGGGGGGCCCGCCAGCGGGCCTCAACGGCGGCGCGGCTCCAGCGGCGCCGCCGACGCCGCCCGGGCAGAACCTTGAGAAGGAGGCAGCTGCGGCGAAGGAGATCGAGCGCATCAGGGCGGCGCAGCAGGCGGCGGGGGAGACGGCGGCTCGGGCCGCCAACGTCGCCATGGCTGGGGCTACCGACGGCGCCGAGGGGGGCCGCGCGATCGACTCCAGGGGCGCCAGCAAGGGCTCCAGCTCCAAGTCACGAGCCCCGCCCCCTCGGGAGTGCAGCCAGGCTCGCGACGGGGGCGCAGCGGGAGGCGGGGCCAGCGTCTCCAATGTCCAATGTCTCCATCTTCACCATCGAGGGCAGAGAGTGGGTGCACATCAAGTGGGGATGCTGCAGTTATTCAGCTGATCTTTTCGAGCGTCACCATCCTTGCCAAGAGTCGTGGAGGTGCATCCAGGAGCTGCACAGCCATAGAGTGTTCCAATACTTCGGGCTCTGCGAGACGCGCGTGGGTGCCGAGTCGGAGAAAAGTTTGATATCCAAGTTTCGGTCACCAAAGTTCAAAGCACTGACGAATCCAGCACGACCGCCAGGTAAGCCTTGCTCAACTTCAGCTGGCACGGCGAGGGCGAACGAGGGAGGTTAACTGTGCCTCGCCCAAGGACATCGCCTAGTCCATCATATTTCACGTTCTCTTGGGGGTCTCGGAGGGCTATGCTCCGATGGGGCGGACATGCTGGATGGGTTTTGCCAGTAGTCATCCGTCAGCAGGGCTACAGCATCGTTCTCGCGATCTGCTATGGGCACCACTCAGTGGGGTATCGAGGCGAAAACATCACCATATTCACTAAGATCGGCAGTGTCCTGAGAGCTCTTCAGCTTCCCTGGATTTTCACAGGGGTGTTCAACGTCCCTGCCTCCGCTCTTGTCCCTGTGGGCTTTGTCGAGAAAGTGGGGGCCGCGGTTTTGCAGGCCCCAGTGGAGTCCGCGTGTGTCAGTGCCCAGGGAGCGTCACATATCGATTGCGCTCTCGCATGCCCTGCCGCCGTGCCTTATATTTTGGCCCCCCACGCTGTTTTTGATGTGCCCTGGCGGCCGCGCATAGGTTTAGCCCTCCAGCTCCGTGGCTCGGGTGCCCAGTTTCTCACTCGGTCGCTTCGCCTTGCCGAGAGGCCCCCGCGGGTCGATCGCCCCGAGGCGGCGCCTCTGGCGGGCAGCAAGTCCTTTCGGGCCAAACAGGAGCTAGCTACTAAGAGGACTATGTCGTTCCAAAACCAAGTTGGTCAGTCTTTCAAACTGTTTGGGGACCTGGGATCGACGGATGGCGCCCTGGGGCCGCCTGCCGCCCAAAGCTTTAACCTGTCCTGATGTCGTTAATCCTGGCGACCCGTGGGGCGAAGATGAACTGGATCCGCGGGCTGACGAGCCCAATTTTCAGCCGGTGGCACCTGCTAGCACTAGCGAAGGGGAAAAGTGTTGCCCGTCTCTCAACGGAGTACTCCTGCCGTGAATTCCGCTGGTGCCGACGGGCCCTCCTCGCCCAATTCAGGGAACGATTGAAGGACCTCCCCGAGCGAGACCCCGACCCCCGAGCAGTCTAGCGAGCAGTCTGGCGATGTTGACAGGGTCTCTCCTGGCCCCTCCGCCCCCACTGCCCATGCTGCTGCTGGCCCTTCGTACTCCATTCCTGCTTCCACGTGGTTTTTGGCTCGAGCAAGTTCGGGCTCTCACAGTCGCGAGAAACATCGCGTGTGAGCTCCTATTCGAGAGTCTCTGGCATATCATGCAGCTGGAGAGTACATCTTACCAGTCAGTGGTCTGTTCGCGGGGTGGATCGACGCCGTCGAGAAGAATATCTGGCGGCATCACGGCCTCGAGCAATATTGTTCCAGGCCTACCCGAGCTGTCGGTCCACGGCTTGAAGTGCACAAGATAGTTCACATTATTGGGACATGCCTTTTTACGACGTTGCGGCCCACTGGTGGGCTAGAGCTCACACGCTGACCTGCCACGTCATGCATCGCGTTGCCAAGCAGAATGGAGCGATGCAGGTAATGGCATTATCAGCGGCGGCGCTCAAGCTGGCTGGCCACTACCCAGATAGTACATCTAAGTTAGTTGGGAAGCTTCCGACGTCTGCGACGTGGCAGCGCTGGTTACTCTTTCTTGGGCACTTGGGTGAGCAGCCTCTCGTAGGACTGCAAGACGCTTGTGAAGAGTTGGAAGTTATTGTTCGGCGTGCTCGTACCAAGGCCATGAACAGCTCACTGTGCGAGCTCAAGCAGTGGATCATGGAAAACGAGAATACTGGACTGCTGTTCAGATCTAGTAGGCTTTCTCCTCTCGCCAAGACCGAGATCCGCAGCGACAAGGCAGGTGTTATGTTTCATCCCAGGGACGTAGTTGATCAGAAGACGACGCACTGGCGCGAGCTGTGGCGGTCTAGCAGGCAGGTGGACCCACCATATATTGCCAGTCTGTTCTCTCTACTGCGCGCTCGGGCTAGCGAGTGCTCCCACCTCCACTCGCGACGGAGGAGGTGAGCCAAGCCATTCATGACATGAAGGGTCAGGTAGGGCAAGGACCAGGCCGTCTACGTCCAGCCGGTCTAGGTAGGTTGCCGACGGAAGCCATTGTAGAACTCACCGCGATCCTCAACACGATCGAGCAATGCGGTACCTGGCCCTGGCAACTCCTTGCAGCGTGGGGCGACTTCTTCCGAATGAGTCCACAGGTGACCGCGTCATAGGTTTAGTGCGCGTTATTTGCAGGGTCTGGTCATTAGCCAGAGAGCCACACACACTAAATCATGGAACTCATGTGTTCATACTGACTGGGATGCGGCATGTGCGTGCAACCCACCCCTGAAAGAAGCATACATGCGAGCCATGGACGAGGGGCACTTCTTTCGTCTACGCTCCTCGCAAGGTCATGCACTCCTGGACATCGAGAGCTTCTACGACGAGATCGAGTGGCCGATTCTTGTGGAGCGAGCTCTGGAGTGCAATTGTCCAGCCATCACTCATTGTCTGGAGTTACAAGTTTGCGCTGGGCCAAGGTTGCTTGCACAAGCAAATACCGTGTCCTGCCCTTTCCAGGCCGTGCGTTCGATACGCGGTTCGCCAAGTGCATGACGAACGCGATCATGGTGAAATTGACGACCTGCCACCCGCGCGTATCTCAAATATGGTGGATCGACGACCTGTCGCAGACGGCGGTGGGTTCTCGACGGCATGTGGCCCAGGTCTTAGAAGAAGGTGTGATGACCACTCAGGAGGAACTTGAGCGGCATTCGTTGCGGCTCGCGTCCAAGAGTGTCATCGCGTGCCCCGGCGTTGCAGATGCTAAGAAGATTGTCAAGAGGTTTCGCTAGCGAGGTGTTCGGGTCCAATGGGATCACCGAACCACGCGCCTGGGCATCGTCCACTGGCAGCGGCAAGCGCTTGGCCAGGGAAGAAACTCGCGCGTCTAGGATGAAGTCCTCGCAGGCTCAGCATCTGAACATCGAGCGGTGCGCTGCAGCGTCGCGAAAGTCTCGCATTCTGAAGAAAATCGAGATGGGCGGGCCTCAGATGGCTGCCCACTACGGGCACCAGGTCCATGGGCTCCAAAGTCATCGATCCTGGAGTTGCGCCGGAGGCTCGGGGCGATTGCTGGCGGCCACAGGCGCGGCAGAGACCTCGCCACCCTTGTCGACATCAGGGCCCCGCAGCGGGATCCAGGAGTGCAGCTACCGCGGCAATTTTTGGGGCAGTGGATTTCTGTTTGGATCTCTGAACCTCGTATTCATGCGCCAGTCTCTCGAGTGTGGAGGGGCGTTGGCGGCCAGATGAAAGCATCGAGCCCCGCCATCGCTCTCGTCGCGCGCGCGGGCCAATATCGGGGCTGGTGCGCTATATTACAAGAAGGATGGGATTCCCGAGGCCCCGCCGAGTGGTATTTGCCCGCCGACCAGATCGACCAGTCCGGCAACATTCCTGGATGGAAGTTCGACGCCAACCAGCTGGAGTTGGTCAGCGAGGCAGCGGATTTGATTAATGACTCCTCTGACGTTTCAGCGCCAGCTCTGGTATGAGGCGCGATGCGCTCATTGCGGCGGAGGCGTCGAGAACAGTCTGGATAACTATAGCCTTCGCAAGCAGTTGATTCAGTTAGAAGCCCTTCCTCAGGGCCGACGGCTGGCCGAGGTGCTCCTGGCCATTGCAGCGGGAGGTGAATGGGCAGAATCGAGGCGCAAAGACAGCGGATATGAATGTTCAGGTTTGTGTGACAGATGTCCAGATGGTGTTAGCGAGACTCCGTTTCACTGATATTGGCAATGTTCATGCAATGCTGGATCACCTATTTTCGACATGACCGAAGACCTGTGTCATCGTGCAGTCACACAGGCAAGCTGTGCAGCATGTTTTTTTTGGTTCCGTGGGGTGATCCCAGCTGAGTGGACCAGGGTAGAAGAGCCGACGGAAGTTGAGAAATGGAAAAAGCGTGGGACACGACCAGGCTGACACTTTCTCTTTCGGCGAGGGCTCCATGACCCAGCCTTTGGTTATCTATGGGGACGCTTCGGGAGGTGCTGACACACACGATCCACGACTTCGTCGAGTTGGGTTGGCTGCGGCAGCATCTGTTCCTGGATCAAATGACGAATCCCCGTGTGTGTTCGGCCTTTTGCCTGGCGACCGCCAGACGGTTGCGCGCGGAGAGTTATACATGCTGGAAGTTGCAATTCGTTGGCCCACGGGGCCAATGGTTTACATTACCGACAATGAAGAAGTCTGCAGAGGGTTGTGGGCCCGAGCCTATGACCACCCCGCGGGCCCCAACGCAGACATATGGCGTGCTATCAAGAATCACCTTCATGTCCGTGCTTGCTCGGAGATCGTCGTCCCCAAAGTGCCCTCACACCTCGAGGGGCGACAAGTGGTCGAGATGCAGGTACCTCCGTGGACGGTGGAAGGAAATGTTTTCGTCGACGTGCTGGCGGGAGTTGCAGCTCGTGAGGCCCGAGTTCCAGAGCATCAACGAGCCCGAGCTCTTCAGGTGGAGGCGGACGCACGATTGGTCCGTCTCAGGCTTCTGCGGATCTGCCTCCAGAGCCGTCTGTGGGGGGGGGCAAGAGGAAAAAGTCTTCTGAGGCCCACTCCTTGCCGCCTCCCCCCCGTCCTCGTGCTCAAGCTTTGATGTGTTCTGCGCATAGCGTCGATAGCAGTGGGGAAACATGTTTGGTTTGTCGGGGATCCTCCTCGGATGCCAACTTAAAGTGTTGGCGCGGAACCCAGTGTTTTCCGCTTTCTGTTCTCTCTGATATGATTTCTGCCTTGCCCAGGGGTCCGGTTTTTAATCTCGCAGGGGGTGTGGTCCACAGCTCCCATAATATGAGATACCACGAATCCCAAGGAGTGTGGTTCTGTGGCAGATGCGGGTCCATCGGTTCGGCTCTTCTCAGCAAGAAGCTGGCTGGGGCCTGCCTTACACCGACCTCCACAGGCAAGGACTACCTCCGTCGTTTAGAGAGAGAGACCTGCCGCTTAAGGTGCTCAGCAAGGTTGAGCAGGCGGCCAGGGCGTAATTTATATAGACTCGCTTCGCGACCGCTGTCGTCTCATCACCTCCTCGTCCTCGTACTCGTCCTGGTCGTCCTCGTCCCCGTCCTACTCGTCCCCGTCCTCTTTGCCCTACTCGTCCTCGTCCTCCTCCTCCTCCTCCTCCTCGTCCTCCTTGTCCTCCTTGTCCTCCTCGTCCTCCTCGTCCTCCATGTCCTCATCGTCCTGCTCGTGCTCGTCCTGGTCGTCCTCGTCCCCCGTCCGCCCCCTCGCCTGCCGCCGCTTTCTCCGCTGGCGGCGATCCCCGATGTCTTGCGCATGGGCCCCCGGGTTCGGGTCCTGCCCCAGCTCGGGGCCTCCAGTTCCCGGGGGCCCCCAAGCGGGGTGGTGACCACACCGTGTGGTGCGTCGGTGGGGATTCGGGGTCACCGCACGGTTTTGGACTCGAGTCCCTCTCCGAGGATGTTTCGGGCGACTGGGGTCTCCAGGGTCTCCAAACCGTGCGTTGACGGACCGTGCGGTGAGGTCTTGGGGGATTTTGAGGTCACCGCACGGTCTGTCACCGCACCGCTTCGAGACTCCAGAATTTCGCATGCATTCGGCACGGGTGTGCCTCCCAGAGGTGCATGCAACGCACCAAGAAGGACCTGTCACAATCGGATTTTGATTCCGCTAGACGCATCGCTGTCCTCAGGGCGTTGGCCGCTGAGACTCAGGGTCGCACATTACTTGTTACTGCCAGTCCGGATGGAGTGCTGCTCGTCTGCATGAATTGCGGATCTATTTATGAAGGTCGCTGACGGCCCAACGACTTCGACGACCCATGACGACCACGACGGCGGCGGCGACGGCGGCGACGGTTGCGGCGGCGGCGGCTGCGGCGAGGACGGCGACGCCGACGATTAACGACGGCGGCGGCGGCGGTGACGACGGCGACGTTATGGTCCCCGCCAGCTTGGGTCGTTCTGCGAAGGAGTTGCTGCCCGCAGGGCTCGGTGGTTCAAAGATAGGGCCTTGAGGGATGATGGGGCCCTCAGGAAACGAAAACGATTCCCCTTGAGATCCAGGCGTTGCAGTTGTTTCACACCGGGCGTTTTCGCAAAGTTTCGGGCCTCAGCGATCCGGCCCGAAAAGTGCCAAAGAAGGACTCGGGTCCAGAGTCTAGAGCTCTGACAGTGACTCTTCGCGATGTTGCAGCAGTTTTTCGCAACGTCGGGTCTCAGGGTTTGAGGCCACTCGTCCTGAGGGCCCCTTTCCTCAGAGCCCCGTCTTGGAACCGCCGAGGGCTCCAACGTCGTTGATGACGAAGTCGTCCACGACGATGGCGGCGGTGGCGGCGGCGTGGACGGCGACGCTCGGGCTCCCGCTGGCCTGGGGCCGAGGGGCTCGCTGCCCACATGGTGCGGCGGCGCGTGCGAGTGACCCTTCGCTGGAGTGACCTCTGTCACGCAGGCGTCACCTTAGTCCTTAGCACCAGGAGGAGGAGGAGGAGGAGGAGGAGGAGGAGGAGGAGGAGGAGGAGGAGGGTCAGGAGGAGGACCCGAGCGCCCCGGCCGCGGCTGTCGCACCGCATATGCCGCCATCGGCGAGCCGCGCGCCAGAGGCCTCTCCTGCCCGGACTCGCGCTTGCGCGCATGGGCCGCGCGCCCAGGTGGGGGTGAAGGGGGGCAGACCTTCTCGGACGGCGGCGGTGCTCGTCAGAAGCCCCCCGGCCTTCTCAGAAGCCGTCCAAGCCGCTTGCGTCTTCGGAGAAGGCTTGGGGCAACGCCCAGAAGGCCGGAGGTGTTCGGAGCCTTCTCAGAAAGCCGTCTGTGTCTTGGAGAAAGCTTGCGACAACGCCCAGAAGGCCGGAGGTGTTCCGAGCCTTCTCAGAAAGCCGTCTATGTTCTGGAGGTAGGAAAGGGGTACGGTAGAAATGGGTGTGGTGCTATTTTCATGTAAAGGGAAATCTGGCGATGTTGCTTATCGCAGATAGCACTGCCATTTCCACGATTGGCACGGTACCCCTTTACGCCACACCCCCTTTCCGACCTCCAAATCTGTCTTGGAGAAGGCTTGGGACAACTCCCAGAAGGCCGGGAGTGTTCCGAGCCCTCTCTCAGTAGGCCCCTTGGGCTCGCCGCCGAGCGTCGCAGAGCAGGGCGTGGCCCGCCCACGACGGGGAGGCGGCGCGCGCCCGCCCGGCGCTGCGCCCCGCGAGGACCCCGCGGACTTGCACAGGGGACAGCAGGCCTCGCCGCCGCCGCCGCCGCCGCCGACGCCGACGCCGACGCCGACGCCGACGCCGACGCCGACGCCGTTGCCGACGCCGACTCCGCCGCCGCCGACGCCGCCGCCGCCGACGACGACGACGTACTCCGACCCACGCGGCAGGGCGAGTGGCTCCCGCGCGTCGTCACGGTCATGATACGGGTTGCCTGGCGGCGTGCGCCCCGAGCCGCCCCCCTCTCCGCGCTGTGGGGGAGCCCTCCTCCACCTCCTCCTCCTCGTCTCCTCCTCTTTCTCCTCCACCTCCCTCGTCTCTCCTTCTCCTCCTCCTCCTTCTCCTCCGCTCTTCCCTGCTTCTCTTCACCTGATTACGTGGAGGGGCGACGTTTCTGAAGCTTTCGGGAGTTCTCGTTGGTTCTTGGAGGTTGTCTCGCCTCGCGGTGCTCCCCGGCAGCTGCGCCTCACCGCGAGCGTTCTGGGGGTACCCAAATCGTCCCAGATCCCTTTCCAGCCCCGATGCCCTGCCCTTTTTGTGCTTGGGCTCCTGACTCCCTCCATGCTGCGTCCCACCTTCTCTTCGCAACATTCGCCACTTCCACTCCAGCATACACCAGGCATGCAACTACAGGGCAGGCCGAAGAGAATGCTGGGGGGTGAGGAGGATGAGGATGAGGATGGGCATGATTTGGAAACCGAGGAGGAGGATGAGGAGGATGAGAAGGATAATCACCAGGAGCATGATGATGCTGATGAAGAGGATGGGGATGCTGATGATGATGATGATGCTGATGATGATGATGATGATCATGATGAGGATGATGATGGTGATGGCGATCATGTTGCTGCTGATGATGAAGATGATGAACATGATGATGGTGATGCTGCTGATGATGATGATTGATACTAATGATGCTGCTGATGATGATGCTAATGATAATGATGCTGATGATGACGATGAGGATGATGAT